GGTTTGTCAGTGTGTTTTATAACTGGAAAAATCCCGATTTTAAATTTTGTTTCAAATCTTTCAGTTTGCACATACGTACATTAAGTGAGCCTTTGTTTTGGCCAGCTGCATCTCAAAGTCACCACCTGGAAACGACTCCTATCACTACTGGACTGAATCTCGTGACGCCACAACCAATCCATCTGTGTTAGATATTAAAAATTGCAAGGCATTTACTACCTGGAGAGAGGGAACCCACTCGCAGAAAAAACGAGGGAGGGGTGGGGATAGATAAGAGATAGAATGCTTTCTGATTCTTTAGAGAAGCGAGATCTGAGGACGACTGAAAGACGGCGGGAGGGTGGGATGTTGCTCTAAAGAGCAGCAATTAGGCGATGTAAATTAATTCATTTGTCCTTCGATTGAATCTCCAACCAGAGACAAGTAAGCAGAACCCTTAGATACGTTCTAGGACCCTTACTCAGTTAAAGCAGAATTTGACTGTATTTGACGCCCAACTTGAAATGAAGCGTCTTTCAAAAATAATTACTGTACAGGTTATCTCATCCAGCGTCTTTTACTTTTTCAAAATGTTTTTAGACCAAAGAGCTGTCACCTCATCATCATCCGAAGCACCATTATTTAAGTGCCTCCTTCTCCTGGTTTCTGTGTGTCTTGCTTTCAGTGGTAGCGAGTGTGCATCAATCTGGACAGCTCTTTTAAATACCACCGTGGTGCTGCTTTTGACTTTCGTTACAATCTACTTGGTCTTTCAGACTCAGCTTTTGGGAAAAAAAAAAAGCAAATTGTCTTTTTTTAAGTACAAGTATAACCCATCAAGGTCATTGTCAAGTTAACAAAGCTCGCTCAGCCAACTTCACAGACATCTGAACGTTTAATAAAATGACTTCTCCTTTCTCTGCGGGTTCTCACTCTGTAACACCAACTAACATGCAACTCGGCTCTGTCCAGTCAACCGCAAACACCGGATGCATGGTTCTGTTAAAAGGACGAATTCGTGTTTAATCAAGTTTTTATTCCAAAGCATACTCACACACCCCCCAGTACACGCCAAAATTATAAGGGCTGCTGCAAGCTGTCCTCCCTCCGTAAACATACGGCCCGATAAAGAGATCCCTCTGTGAAAACAATGTTTCAGTTGCCAGTGATAGGACCGCAAAACAAGCAATGAACGAGTAAAACTCCCTGTAAACGTTCAGCTGGAGGATACACTTGGTATGGGACATATTCTCCAAAGTTAGTGTTCTCAGAGCAATATGTCCCTCTTTTTTATAAAGACGAAGAATGATTCGATTAATTGTCCCCCCCATGACTTGCATTGTATGTCCCCCCAATTAGGACTCGTATGGACAAGGAGTGAACAGCTATGAAAACCCATTTTTGGAATGTATTATGATGGAACTATGGAGAAGTGGTTGTCCGTATTATCATGTTATCAGTAGACTTTGGAATTAAATATGGCAACCTGTCCCTTTAATTTTACACTTTTCTATCGTCCATTGTGGTGTTACTGTGTGTTTGTGACTTAGTCCGCGCTCATACGTGTATGGTTTTTAATTCAGCTGCAGAGGTATGCATTATAAGACTAATAATAGCATTTTGTAATTTGTAGTCAATCCGGTAAATCTGATCTTTTTATTTGTGTGTAGAATGGGGTTGTATTTTCCAGATTTCCACCGTCTTTTCTCCCCAGCAATTATTAATGCCCTTGTAATCGTAATTATATATGCCACGGTGTAAATTTACTATTGAAGTTTTCTTTCTTTCCCTTATGGTCTATGTTTATATTTGAAACAAATGGGCAAAAGAAAAATGCCCCTGCACCATAAATTATATTCTGTAAGCCTTTTTGGTTTTTTTTTGGTTTTGTTTTTCTGTTCACAGTAGTTATTTTGAATCCATTTGTTTTTTTATTATATTTGTCCTCAACATATCTATTTTTGTTTGATTCTGTTTCTTTCTTTCCTATGTTTTTTATTTTTTATCGTTCTTCTATTATAGTATTCTTTATAATATGTTTTTTTTTTCTCTATATCTGAGTTGTATATTCTTTGATTTCTAATTCTTCTTCTTCTTAATCAACTAACAATGACTGTGTTATGATTGTAGGTATTAAAGTAGTGAGTTATTGACTTCTTAGCTGTCATCCTAGTGATTATATAATTGCGTGTGTGTTTGTGTGCGTGTGTTTTTGTGTACGTGTGTGTGCTCGTGCGTGTGTGTGACATGCCAGGGCTCATGTCCTCAGGGGTGATAAATAGAACCGTGAAATGGCCCAGAGTCCTCCCCTCTGCCCTGCTGCTACCCCTCCAGACCCTTGAGCTCGTTGAGCTTATTGCAAGTCGTCCCATAGTTGGACATTCAGCTGTGTTGGCCTGTGGTTCAAGACAAACATGTCATCATAAGCAGCAATAGAAATTCTTGAAAACATATATTTTTAAAGCAAATGCTTCACTAAATGTTGAAAAAATATTAGCTTATTATCTTATAATTTTTGCAGCAAGGTATTTCAATCATATCTGGTGATTCAGTTCAGAGATTTCTAGCCGTTTGGACACTTCACTCCGACTTATTTCTCATAAAGATCCCTGTTTATTGTTTTACCCTCGTTTTCACATAGCTATTTTTATGAACCATGTGATTCCTCAGGAGTTGGCGGTGATGAAGCAGGTCCTGATCAGCATGCGGTCCGGACAGGGAGACTCTCGAAACCTGCTGGAAACCGATAAAACTGCTATCAGGACCTCCGGTGCAGGAAAACACCAGTCCAAACGTATCAACAAGACCACAGAAGAAGAGTCGCCAAACAAACCCAAACCCACTGTGTTTGTAAGTGTCTGACTTGGCAACACCCTTGTATGAGTCACACCACCTTAACCTGCTTGGACAGAAGTTCAGACAAAGGAGCACTAGAGGTTGAAAGGAAATGATGAATAGCTTTTTTGACATTTGGTTTCATTTGAGCTTTTCACTGCAGTTAGGAGAGTAAAGATATGCTGTCGTAGTTTATCCTTGATTCATGAGAAAGTCAAGTAGGTGAGAATACTGTAACAATCCAAACAAGAGCAACTATGCACTTCCTACTTTCCTAATCATCGTTTTTCCTCTCTGCCTCTTTCTTTTGCAGACCAATAAAGAAGTTCCTGATTGGTACCAAAGGCTGAAGCAGAAACCCAAATGAACAGTCATTTCTGTTCCTACTGGTGCTGTTAATTTGTCACTCAGGGCATTAACAATCGTATTTTTTATTTAGGCGTTTGTATTTTAAAATAGTAAATTAAGCTTCTTTTAAAATTTCAACAACTTTTGAAATACAAAAGCACAAAGTTACTGGTATCTGAGTGTTTTGTTGTTCTCATCCATGGTTACATATTGTTCAGACTGGATAAATTCCCTGCGTACTGGTCCAAAACCAGAAGTATTACCTTCCACGGGGTAAACATTCCTAGCTAACTGACTGCCCAAAAATTCCTCTTTCTTGGCAGTGGTCAATTTTATTAGGTCTGTCTATCATTATTTCCTCATCTTTTCCAGGTTTGCAGATACGCTACAGACAGACACCATTGCCTCTGATTTGCCCGAGCTGAGGCTCCTTTGGCTTTAAATATAGACATAGTAGGCATACCGTTATCATTTCAGACCATGTTCTTATCGGTGTCATATTAAACTCAACCAGAGGACTGCTTTATACCTCGTTTGTCACATTTCATCTTGCTTTTTCTAAGTGAGCCTACCAAATGTCACAACACACCACCTTGCTTTCCTGTTATTTAAGATTCTTAGAACAAACTGCAGTGTGCAATATTTTAGGCCCCCTTTTGTTCTGAGTTACCAAAGCACATTTTCCATAATAAACTGTACAATAAATATGTAATTTTGTGCTATTTAAATAATAATTTGACAGGAATTCATAATGTGGAGAAAACACCTCTGTGCATTTTTTTTAAACACCATCTGGCTCCTAGTACATGGATGTCCTGTTAACTTAAATTATTTAAAATCCCTTACTATAGTCACAATTTTGCATATGAAGTTAAGTAGTAGTACTAAACCTGTAAAAACTCTTCTGTGGAGGAATTTTTCAAATGTTTGGGGGAAAAAAATGTCAGACTTAAAATTTGTAAGCCTACTTTACAAACTGTGTTTAAAAGAAGTGGGCCTTTTTTCAAAGTTATTTTTGGGAGTCTAATTAGAGACTTGTATTATGGGAAATGTAGGATCCAGTTTTTTGGGGATCTTGACCCATATTAAGGACAGAAAAGTCTGGATATCTCAGCTTCAGCTGCTCCTATGTTTGTCTATTTTTTTTCTTTTTTGAGACCAACAGCTTAAAGCTGTGGCATGTAACTTATAAAAAAAATAACTTTTTGTCATATTTCCTGTAACTTTCATTATATCCTGACACAATTCACAGATAAAATGTGAAAAATGTCTCGCCACTCCTAATGGTATTTACACCTGATGGTCTGATGAAAACAACCAATCAGAGCCAAGAAACATGGTTTTCCTGGAAATAAGGCTCAGCAATCAGCTGTCTCTTTTTTCACAGATAACCTGTCACCTGTCTCATGTACAGTCAGGATATAATGAAAGTTTCAGCAAATATAACAAATAGTTACTTTAATAAACGTTACCTGCAGCTTTAATGAAATTGACACAAATTTGCAGAATATGCCTTTAAGGGTTTACAGTAGGCTATATGTAGTGAAATTCTGTATAATAATATAACTTATTATCAATACATTAAAAATACGAATATTCCCTATAACATCTTGAACCCATCCCATATTGATCCATTTTCATACAAGCTTTAAAAACGCTACGTGAGGCTGGTACGTGACTTTAACCTCCACTGCCTGTCTATTGATGCCTGTGCACTTTACGACAGTGTTGTTCGTGCATTCAGATGGAGCGTAGGGCGGTGGCCAGTGAATGAATGATCAAAGCCTTTTTAAAGGTTTGGTGGGCGGTGCATGCGCTGTATTTACACTGGGCCGCTCCGCCCTACACGGGAGATAGAAAACTGTCCGTGGGCCGGTGGAGGGATGAAACAAGTGGAAGGAGATGTAGCAGACGGGCGCACACTAATAACCCCTACCACACGCACTACACCTCGTCGGCTCCACTCCTTTCTTCCCCAGTGCGCGGTAGCATCCATCCTCCCTCATTTTGCATAACAGGACGAGCGATCGTTTGCGGTGCTGCGTCGGAGCTTCATGGCCGCGACACTCACGATGAGCGGCGGCGGGCAGGAGGATCCCTTCTATCCGCTGCAGAAGGCGACCCTGCCCGCTGGATTCCCTCTGGAGGACTCGGCGTTGTTCGGCTTGGATTGCAAGATCACGGACAAGGCTGGACAGAACGACTACACTCAGGTAAACCGCTTTCACACATTAGTGATGTATTTCATTGAATGGGCGTGGCAGATTGGTTGTAGATCCAGGTTGTGGTTGTTGTTGTTTTTTTTTTAATTTTATTTGTTGTTTTTTTTTATTGCTGGCCTCCACATTTTCAATCGGCTTCGCTGCGTGATGTTAACCATCACTTTGTTTTGCACTATTTGCACAAATAAGCGAGCAGGCTGCGGTCAGCTGGACGTGATAACCGAGCTGCTCCGCCTGCAAACGCATTCACCGCATGTTTTCTATGCCCAGCCAGTTGGTCACCAGTTGTCGGTCCCTTCTTGGCGTCCCTCTCTCAACATCATACCACGCTGACAACAACTGACTCAAGCTTTCGGACAGAAAGGTCCCGGCAACACTGCCCCCCCCGCCGCCCCCGAACCAGTCAGCAGGAAACTTGTGCAGCAGAGGAGAGAGTTGTATATAACAGCTGGTAGGATCAGGAGCCTAGAAATAGCAGCCCATCCCCAGACTACTGCTGCTGCTGCTGCTGTTGCTGCAGCGGACAGGGAGGCATGGGTGTTTCCCCATTCCCTTTCATGTTGCTGTTTCATCCTGTGCTGCAGGGCTTCTGTAACTTTTATACCAGTCAGATCTTTCAGATTCACAGGAATTAGACCACGAGAAGCAGAACATGAGCAAGGCTTAGTTTGACGTAAAGTTGTTAACCATTGATGCCAGTTTGATCAGTGGTAGGCTGCTTCTTTCGTCTGTTGTCAATGCCTGCGGAAATCGCTGATGTTTTATATAAGAGATACTTAATCTGATTCTTTATTTGCAGCAGAACATGGCCTGATCCTCAACTGTTGGCCTCTCGGCTGCTGGGTTTTTGAGTTCAGCCTTGCAGGCAGAGAGGGAATGTGGCAACCGCCTATTGATGACTACTTGATAAATGTTTCAGCGGTGACTGTCCTATCAAACCTTTGTCTTCTCAAAATAGCGCCTCAAAATAGTTTCATGGTGGCTCATGAGAAGCACTTGCTGAAGTCACAACTGAACACATTTTCCTTTAACCACAGTTTAATTTGAGACCATGTAATTTAGTGTTTCTAAACCAGACTTTTTGTGTGTGTGTGTGTGTTTCTTTTTACCAACAGGCAAAGTGTGAGATGGACAGGTACCTCTCCCCTCAGTCTCTTCCCCCTCCACTTCCTGCAGAAGGTCAGCAGAAGTCACAGCGAGACGGAGCGTCTGTGGTGGAGCACTTCTTCACTGACGATCACAGCGGGGCTCCCTACACCCTCAACATGAATCTTTACCTCCCCGACGCCGCCTACCTGAGGATGGGCTTGTGTCAGCAGGTGCGGCCCCCTCAGCACCAGAACCACACAGGTCTTAACCAAATAAAAACAGAATCTGCCTCCCCGTGTTTCTCCCCCAACCTACAGCTGCACTGCCCCAACACTACGCCCACTAGTAGCTGTGGCACATCTGGGCACGGCCCTGGCAGTGTTGCCATGGAAACCGCAGCCATAAACATGACGTTAACAGGGTTACCAGATTTCACCAGTGTTTTCAACCAGTCGGGAGGCAGCCGCGGTGGCGAGTCATTGCCAGAAGTGTTTGTCAAACAGGAAATGTCATCACAGTTTGAGCAGCATGCTCTCCACCACCATGACGACGGCGGGTCACTGTTTCAGCTACTAAACTCTGGCTTGGACCATCACCATGGCAATGGTATGGAGCAGCATCATCATCATCATCATCCTCATCATCAGCAGCAGCAGCAGATACAACACACTTCCACTTCCACAATCCACGCGCCTTTCCACGATTTGCCGGTAGCTTCTTCTGCATCTCAACAAGAGCAGACTGCCAAGCCTGCCTACTGTGGCCTGGGTGGCGGGGCATACACACATCCTCACGCTCAGGCGCACCCTCATTTCCTCCAGCAGCAGGTGCCCTACCTGCCACCCTCTCCACCGAGCTCGGAGCCTGGCAGCCCTGACAGGCAGAAGGAGCTTCTCCACGCCATGTCCCCTCCTCCCTCATATGCAGCCACTATCGCCTCAAAGTTGGCGGGTAGCACCCCTGGGCTCGGCCCCGGCCCAGGACCAGGCAGCTTGGCCTTGCCCCTCACCACAGGTCCCACGCCAGTCCCAGGCCAAGCCACAGGTCTTCCCCAAGCCCCTGCAGCGACCCCAGCCCCAACCCCAGCTCAGACCACTGTGCCTGCCCGCTACAACCGGAGGAACAACCCGGACTTGGAGAAACGTCGGATCCACCACTGTAGTTACCCAGGTTAGAACAATAACACAGGTCTGCCACTGTATATGCATGCTGATTCCTGTCACTGTGTGTGTTTATTTTTACACTGTGCTGTGGTCAGGTGAATATATGATCACTCACAAAGGTCAACTTTAAGAAAACCAGCTTTATTTTAAGACACCCGTGAATTTTTTTGCAAATTATATGTTGTGTTTTGAATGACTTTCCCAGGCCTATGAGTCACAATATGTACTGCAGCCACACCAGAACACAAGAGGAATTAAAATATTTTGGTAATGGAGACCATCAGTCACTACCTTTTAATTAACTATCTGGTTTAAAAACTACTTTGTATTTATTATCACACCCCAAACAGCTCAGGCAGTCTCAGCCGTGAGCTCTCTCATATATTGTTGTGGCTTTAAAAGTGTCGCTGGTATGATTACGGAATGAACCTGTGTGTGTGTGTGTTGTGTGTGTGTGTGT